TGGCAAATCATGTTTATCTTACGTATATCGCCCTATATATAATTCCCGAATGCGCTAAGCCTACGTGGCTGCTTCTGGTGCTTCGGAATCCTACTTGGCGAAGAATCATGCTTCGTAATTAAGTTCGGACAAGTAATATTGATATATTAATAATTAATATCTAGGTTCGGACATTCCATAAATACTATTTAACTAACTTAGGTATTTTAATATCACTTGTACTAATATAACCCTTTAATTCTTTGTAATTTTACATAGCGAGACAGTAAATGACTAATATATCCCGGACTTTTGATTTGTTTCCTTCAATTAGCTATTGAATTATAAATGTATTTTAAAAGTTGATAACTTTTGTATTTCTTATCGGTTTTACATATATAATATATCAAATTAATCATCTTTTCATTATCTTCGATTTGACATCCATATTGTATATATAAACTAAATAAATAATATTTACCTTTATAATAATATAAAATAATATTTATTAAATTTGATTAAAAAAATAAAATTATTTCTCAGTTGATATATTTTTGTTTAATGTAGTTATATGTTGTAAGTTAAAAAAATTATTATAATATAACACAAGTAAGTCACACAAATAAAAAGTGCCATACTAAATATATAATAATATATATTTTTATAAAAGTTATTTAAATTTTCAACTACATTTTCTCAATAATTTTAGATTTTAAGGAAAAAAATAGCAAGTACCCGTGTAATACACGGGCGTTGTACTAGTATACAATATATCTAAACATATATTTGATGGGTATTAGATCGGAGCGAGTTATCCTTGCGTCGTATTCAACTTTGGAGGGTTTGGTCTCAGTTTTATTTTGCGTTGCTATTGTTCTTCTCCGTTGAGATAAAACTTTTTTTTGTATGAGAGATGAAGTTCTTTTGGGGGAGGGATGAAGTTTTATGCACTACATCCGAGATATAGAGTGAGAAATGATGATTTCTTTTCTTTTTTTCTTTTAGTTGATTGAGTGTAAAGATGGAGAGAAAAACATGTTACCCAAAAAAATCATGTAAGTGGATTTTAATTGTGTAGTTGTATATCGGAATTAATTATATATAATTAATTGTACTAGCGGATTATCAGGCCAAACTTAACCACAATAAATATTACTTTGATTATTTAATAACATAAATGTGATGAAAGTTTTGTAAGATCGTAAATTTGAAATTATTTAAGGGATGGAATGTAAAGGGGGTAAATTTCTCTTCAAACTATTGCACAATTGCAAAACTATTATCATACATAAATCACATAACATACGAAATGAATATTCATGCAGTTGCAGACCATGATTGGCAGAAAATTGGGTGGCAATTGGATATAAAAAAATATATTTATTTTGTTCATTTAAGATTTATCTCATTGAGCTAAAAAGATTATATATATATTATTCATTTGATTTCACTTTTTCTTTTTCACTTTTTATTCTTTACTATTTGACTAAGAAGATTAGAAAATATGTTACATTATTATATTCGACTTCCAACAAATGACTACATCACTATAATAAATTGTTAGTTATGTTAAATTCTATTAGTTTTCTTATTGAATTTATATGAGCACCAATTGAATAAAATCATTGCATATATAAATGATTTAGAGGAAACACACTCACCTCTACTTTTGTCAATGTTGTGGTTAGAGTATTTTCTTTTTCGTGGTAGCGATCGGATATATGTTTTTCTTAAGATAATTGTTTCCTTTGAAAAACTTTTTATATAGGGACGGATATAAGATAAAATATAATTATTAGAGTTCATATGATATAAAAACACAAAATAGTAATGCATATATAATGTGGGAATATTTTTTTATTAAAAAATATATTATAACTATTATTTTTTATTTTGTAATTTTGTTAATGGGATTGTCAAGAGAAGAAAGATAAATGATAAAAAATATTTTATTAATTAGCCCAAAACGTCAACAACGTCTAAACAACATTCAATCAGCGTTCACAAGCCGACCACTAGTCAAGAGAGACCGAAACGGTTGAAGAGTTTAATCAATCCGCGTATTAGCGTTTGATTTGAGAAAAAGCAATATCTCGAGTCAATGTTATTCAAATCTAAATTTATTTTCAAAGATCCAAAATCAAATTCAAGAAGAGAAGAATTAAAGAGTTACATATAGAGAATGTAACTGCAACATCGTTTGATTATAATAAAATAAGTTGTACAAAAATTGTCATTGCCAACTCTAGGATGATGCATCATAAAAGGTCAAGCTTCATAGGCAGAAACCATTAACTTTGACGGCTGATTCCACTACATACGAGGATACTGGGAGTGGACTGAAGACATACTCAGTCGGTGCAAACGTAACTCGATCAAGGCAGAGATTTACGATGTTGTGTACACCCCGCTCTTCACCTACGACTGCAATCCTTAGATCATCAAGGCATTCTTCGAGGCGTGGTTTATATCTATCATCACACTGCTAACATCTTCCGCGGAACTATCCATGTCGCTATGGATCTATATAGCTTGACAGAACTTACATAGAGCATATTCATCTTCGATGAGGTGGTGTCGAATGCAAACAAGCTAGTCGGGATTAACAAAGTTAAGAACCTATGCCTCTCACTGCTACAAGCATCTATTCCACACTCATCATCTACTCTGCATAGAAGCCGGTGACGGACAATTGTCGATCGATCGATGGATACAGTAGTTTTGGTCAAAGAAAACCATCAAGTACAGACACCTCCAAATCGTGCAGACAAGAAGAACAGAGAGAAGAAGAGGATCATTCGCCTCAAGTCAATACATAATGCGCCCAAAACATTCGAAGAGGATCATTCGCCTCAAGTCAATACATAATGCGCCCAAAACATTCGAAGAACATTGACACTGGGCCTCTTCCGAAAATCTCTTGTTCAAGAAGATGGACGTGATCGAGCCAAAGTTGCAAGAAGAAATTCACTTGGCGGCCTACCTCTTGTGTTGGATATGCACATTCGTCCTTCCCAAAGTTGACGTCGACATGATTCGTCCGAACACCTTCAAGATGAAAAGTGTGATGGCCAAGGGTCAGACGGTTGGTCTCGCAATTCCAGCGTTGACAAGCATCTACAAAGGGTTGAACGAGCTTCTGCACAAGTCCATCTCGATCGACACTTTCCATCCACTCCATTTCCAGTTGGCTGGCACTTTACTTCAAAACTCACTTCATTTGAAGTGGATAAAAAATGTCGATCGAGGTGGCTTGTGCAGCTTGCAAGCCCGTTCAACCATTTGTAGATTCTCGTCAACACCATAATTGCGAGACCGACCGCATGTCCCTTGGCCATCATGTTTGTCATCTTGATGGTGCTCGGACGAATCATATAAACGTCACCTTTGGGAAGGACGAATGTGTAGATCCAACAGGAATCAGGATGTCAGGTGAATTTCTACTTGCATCTTTGGCTCGACCACGTCCATCTTCTTGAACAAGAGACCTTCGGCAGAGGCCTAATGTCGATGTTTTTTTTAAGGTGTCGGGCGGATTATGAGTTGACTAGAGGCAAATGATCCTCTTCTTCTCTCAATTTTTCTTGTCGTAACGATTTGGAGGTTCTCTGTACTTGATGGTTTTCTTCGACCAAAACTGCACCCATCGATCGATTGACACTTGTCCGCCATCGACTTCTTTTCAGAGAAGATGATAGGCGTGGAAGAGATGTTTGGTGCAGCGAGGGAGTTGTAGATTATTAGTTTTGTTAATCCCGACTAATCGTTTGCATCCAGCACCACCTCGTTGAATATGAATTTGCACGATGGAAATCCTGCCAAGATATATAGATCCTATAGCATGGATAATTTCTAGAAAGATGTCAGCAGTGTGTTGGTAGATGGGCACCACTGCTCGCAGAATGACTTGATGATCTCGGGATTGCAGTTGTAAGTGAATTGCAAGGCGTAAACAGTATCGTAAATCTCTGTCTTGATCAATTTGCTTTTGCACCGACTGAGTATGTCTTCAGTCCACTGCCAATATCCTCATATTTAGTGGAATTCCCCGTCAAAGTTGATGGTTTCTCCCCATGCAAT